TGTAGTCATCCTGCTCGATGACATCAACTAGAACGGGCGCACGTAGGAGAACGAGTGCGCACCGCTCTATGTCAACTCGATTGGATGCTCGTGAACCGCTTGCGCGGCACACGCTTCCCACAAGCCGCTCACTCAGCCCGTCACAGACAGTATGAATGTCCGAAGTTCGCAACTCGCACGAATCGTGCCCTTACACTTTGACATCCGAGCGCAAGTTGCTGGACGCAAAACGCGCTCTGGCCAAGCCCAAGCTCGACGTGGACATGTCCCATCACCATCTAACCCGTTCCCCGACCCCTTCCACTGCTACGCGACCCTCTACACGCCTTTGTGACTCAATGAGTGTCGTTCCGTGGTGGCACAAGTCGTCGACAGGCAAACCCACCTCGAATTTTGTCTCGTTCATCGACACGAAACCGCCGACAAATGACGTAGCTTCGCGCCTACCCACTTGGTCGACACCTACCACCACAGGTTCCAAGCCACGTTCTAACGAGGCGAAAAAGGGCACCGGAAGCGTATGCAGGATATCAACATACTATGACTTGAAAAGTAGGGGGACGAAGGACACGACTGTTGGCCTATCAAAAGAAAAACAGCTGTATTCCACGTGGCAGTCTCATACGCGATCTACCTACACTCTCGCAAAACCTACATTCTCAGTGCAGTTGCGATCTTGGCGCCTTGCGCTAATGGACACGACCAAGTCGTAGTTAGTTTTAAAAAGTGGAAAGTATAAACAAGGATTTCAATCGCTTAGATGACGCGTAACATGATGCCTAGGTCGCAAGAAACTTGAGCGATGTTGCTGAAACCAAACACCGCTGTATACGCCCCCTGCGCGCGTACCGGCGCACTTCATGCGGAACGCCGAATACTTGTGTAGTATTCTCACACTGAGGTTGCAAGGTCATGTTGTTTGCGCCTACTACTTGAACCTCATGTTCAAGGTGATTTTCGAGTTCAGTAAACGGTATGTTCCACCCACCGTTCTTCTCACATGTTCGGCATGAAGTCACCAAGGTGCGAAGTGATAGCTTGGACGGCTGGTACTGCTTCTCGTTTGCGCTGCGTTGCTAGCGCCGAGCCAACAGCGCATCCCCCTCCTCGCCCGAATCGTCGCAACGATACACGACATGGTATCTTCGCTGCGTTATCCTGTTATCTGGACAAGCTGCGTAGAGGCCGAGAGGACTCCTTAACTCCCCACGGGAAGTAGGAGCAGGCCTGTCTACTTCGAGTGGGAAGTTAACAGGTCGTGAGGCTGAGAAACCGGCGCAGCCCCTCGCTGCGGATGTTTCAGTTGTCCTCCGTGTTCATGGCGGGGCCAAAGACAGACGCGTTGGGACACACAGTTGTCTCTGGTAGCCTGATCGTGCTAGGCCGCTTAGTTTACACACTGACGTTTCTCTGCTCGCGCCCGCGGTAATTGTGTCGGGGCTGCGCGCGCTACAGCAGTAGATTCTTCAGTCGATAGTGGTTCAATCGGTCCGTTGAGCCATGCGCTGTGCGAACCACCTTGTTGGGCTCACTGCACTTGCTCTACTATGGTTCACTGCAGTGGGATGCTCGGATCCAGTGCATTTGGATAGCTCTCTTGATGATTCAGCCCGCCAACAACAGGTTCGTCATGATGATCGCAGCCAGCGCGCAATGGCACTCATCCCAGAACCATCCGCTGCTGAATAGCGGCAGCTGGACGAGCACTCAACACGCTCGTCTCCGTCCATTTCCTATCCCCTCTTGTCGTCTCCGCCACTTCATATGGGTGATCACGAGCTGCTGCGTCCAAGGTAGGCGATACGAATCATGCATCAACCAGTTGGTGCGGCCTTGTTCCAGGCAAGAGCACTTGCATAGTCAGGCCATCGCATGTTTCTTTTGGCTCTCTTGTTGGTATTCGTTGGTCGGACGGGAATGGACTGTATTGTTACGGCGCGCGCGGCGCCTCTGCGATGCGTTCACCGTCGCATGGACTGCTTCAACGAACCGCCGATAGCGCACGGGTGACGCCGTGTCCGCTCCCACCTGGATACTTGACCGCCTTTCCGCCATCGCGCCGTCGTGCTCCTCATCGTCGTCCTCCTACCGCCCACCAAGTTGCAAACACCGTTGCGCGAGTCGAGGTAGTCAAGGACACACGATATAAAACGCTTTTAACAAACTACCGAAATAAATACCCAATTCGATGGTCTTAGAGGATCGCCACGAACGGGTCAAAGGCAGAGATGAGGTCGAGGTCTTCGGGGGAAAATTCAAAAGACTCGTCGCCCTTTTTCGCGTCGAACGGAATCGGCTGCAACACCGACTCGACGTCGCACGGGCTCGGCAGCGTGTTGCTGTGCCACGAGTACATTTGCATGGCCGCAAACTCGAGCGCAACCTTGGTCTCAAAGTCCTCGGCCGGCGGAAGGTTCTGCGGCCGGCCGTACGACATCGGGACAAAGTCGGCGTCCCCCGGGCACGAAAAGTTGAAGGCCGGTGTCGATGCAGGCGCCGAGTGGCTGCGCGAGAGGGCTGGGGCCGACGTGGTCGCGGCCGGCGGCTCGGATGCCGACCGAGAGCGGACAAGGATCGGGATCGCAATCACATTGTCCACACCGTTGCGCGGCGTTGTGGCCTTGGGGCGGTGCGTCTTGCGCTTGATGAGGAGCATCCGGTTCGGGTCGTCGCGGATAAAGTTGGGCTGGCAGTACACGGAGCTGTAGTCGTTTTCCTTGGCCTTGTGGAGCTTGCGGAAGCCAAAGTAGTTGAGCTGGCGCTGGAAGCTCGCAAACTTGTTGTGGCGAAAGTACGTGGGCAAAATGTGGCTCTCCATTGCGTCGTAGTCGTAGACGACAAAGGCCTTGCCGTCATGGCACCACGAGATCGTGCTCGGGCGCTCCTTGGTAAGGATCTCGTAGAGCGTGGCGAGGAAGGGCGCGACGGCCGAGCTCAGCATCGCGTCCGTGCGAGGCGAGTAGCCCGCACCGAGGTGGTAGTGTTGCGACTGGTACATGTGGCTGTTCATAGTGTGTGGCTCTTTGTGGTACGAGGCAAATTGCAATCTGAGCTAAGATGCGCCAAGCGTGGCAATAATTTGGTCCGACAGTCGTACTACGACCACCTGTGAGAACTTCGACTTCGAGCAGGAGATAGCCAGATACACATGTGGTAGCTGTGCGCTTCGCCATGGACTGTCTGTCATTGATGGCACACGGCCGTGACGCGCCTTCAGTATTCGCACCCATAGTACCTCTAGTAAAGACAAGATGGTCGAATTGGACCAATTATTGGTCGCCTCGGCTTCAACAAACTTGGCGTCTGTTCCGTACGAGTAGTCCTGTATGGACTGGTGCATTTTGGTCGAGTTACACGGTGGCTGATGCCCGAGCCGTCGCTTTAAACCGGCTCACGACGGCGGTAAAGGAGGTGGTGGCGACGATCGGCACCGAAGGTCTGTCTCCCCACCCTCGCCGACTTGAAACGCCATTTTTGTTTACATGGAAAGCGTCGACAAGCACATTGGTGTGCACGTTGGCGATGTGTAGGTATAGAATATCATGTACATTTCATAAGTATGGGATTTTCACCGAGATGCACTTCCCTTTTCTGGCCACAGTCGTCGTTTGACGGTATTGAGAACAAAAGACAACGTGCTTTGCGAATATCAACTTACCACACGAGCGAATCAGCGCCACGGCGAACCTACTTGGTTCGAGATAACGACGTCGACGTCGCGGTAGGCACCAAGTGCGAGTCGGTCAAGTTGCGGTGACGCAAGTAGTTTCGCCGGATTGTGCGTTCTGCTTTGCGCATGATGCGAGCAAAAGAAGCCGAAGCCCCGTGCTGGATGACGAAAGCACATTATGGCGCAGATCGGCAGTAGTACACTCGGCTCTGACGTACGATTGATTGCCATTTTGGTGTCGGGATCTTGGCGTTCGCGCATTCTTTGCACAAAGCACACCCACAAAGACCACGGTGAAGAATCCTGTGAAAAATACAATCACACATCTTGTCACTCTGATATGCTGGCTAGGGCCAGGGTTGCGAGGCAAAGGGCAGACCGCGATGACGCAAGGGACGAGGAAGCGATGACCTGCATGCTAGTGCATAACCGGGCGCCGGGTTCTCCACCTGCAATGATGTACACCACATATCCAAGCGCAAGGATGCCGTCTACTCCAGGGCTCGTACCACCGCGCGCCAACAGTGGGATTCCGCGTCGCGTCCGTGCAGTGTCTCTGTGCGATCCAGCGTCAGATGTGCTGCATCAACAAACAGTACTTTTGGACCGCCCAGCACCGCACATTGCTTTCGAGACGGAGCACCACAATGGATAAGGTTGAGAGAGGAGGTCCTTCGTTTCACCACGCGCGAATGTGCATGGCCATCCAATCGTACGACGACCATGTTGTGACAATGAGGACAAGCAAGTACCAGCACAAGACGCGCGGCCTCTGGCCATTACGCAGCGTCGGCGCGTCACCAGTCACGTGGGTGGTAGTGTCAACTCGACATGAAGTGCCCACAGTTTGCTCCGCGGTCCACACCGCGTTGTTGCTTCCTCGGCGTTGGCGCCAAATGATAGTTGGAGCTCAACGATTGCTGTATGCCGCGTCTTTGCCTTCTCCAGCAGGCTTCCGTGTTTGGTAATGACCCGCTCTTCCGTCAACGGCAAGTGGACGTGGTCATACATGCGAGAAGAAGGACCGTCTCCATGGCGAGTGTCCCGTCCGTGCGTCGTGGCACGAGTAAGTGTACATCCATCATTCGCGCGCCCAGGCGATAGCAACGCAGACTCGTCATCGATCAGTTTGTTGCACTGCGTTGCCATTATGCGTCGCTGCAAACGAACTGACTGCATGGTGCGCCTTCGAGCCCGCCACTCGACTGTCGAGCCTCCTTTGCTCCTTTGGCATGTGGATGCTCTTGCTGTGCGAGCCATTGCGTTCTGCGATCGGCCACTTTCTCATACCAACCGTTGGAACACGGATGGACAAAACCGAGAGGTGAGCGCATCGTTTGCTCTAGTGAAAGACAGCAGCAGATACGAGTCGATCGACTTCTAAGCGGGCATCGCGCAGCTGGGAGCGAGGAAAGCAGTCGAAGGCTGGGTTCTGAGCGGGAAAAAGGCTGCTGTATTACACGCCATGGTATTCCTGCGCCTCCTTCTTGCTGCGCGACGAAAAGACAAAGCCGAGGCTGTCGTCGAGCGTGGCCAAGTGCATGCGCAACTATTCCGAGATGACTCGCGTCCACGCTTAGAGTGTACTGTGTCTGCTGTGCATACGCCGACTCGGTTCAGACCCGCAGTTCGACAGGCACGTCCGCAGCAGCGTAACCAAATCAGATTCGATTTTACATGCGAGTGGCCGCTAGCGTATCAACTTGAACCTTGTCAGCCCTTGTCGGCACAGACGTGGGCCGGGGGGTGACTGGTCGCGGGCGCCGATGCGAAGAAGAGCCACAAGCGTCGATAGACACGCGTTTACATTGAATAGTAGTAGTAGTAAAATCCTAGTTGTATAGATACAGGACCGCTGCGGCGACTAGGAGCAGAGCGGTGCGTCGCAGAGCATCTGGAGCTCCTCGGACGAGAAATCAATGCTGTCGTTGCCGCTCGTGCACTGAAACGGAATGGGCTGGATGTCGCCCCCCGCCTCACTCATCGTTGTCGGCACCTCGAGGCGGACATCTGCCCACGACGCCATCTTCATGCTTGACATCTCCATCGCCATGCGCGTGTCAACGCCCACGGATGAGTGCATCGGCGTCGAGTGCGGATGCTGCTGATGGTGGTACGACTGCTGGTGGTGGTGTTGCGGGGTGTACTGGGGCGGGTACATATCAAGCGTCGGTCGCAGGTCGTAGCTGTTGTGGTCGTGGACGCTCAGGAACGGGCTGCTCTCGAGCGAAAGCGGGTCAAAGTCCAGGTGTGGGCGGTTGTCATACCCCGCCGTGTCGAACGGCGTCGGGTTGCTCGAGCTTCGAGAGAGCGACGGCGCATAGTTCATGTGGTAGAGCATCGGGTCGGACATGCTCTTGCTGCGCGTGAATGCCGGCATGTCCGGGTTGTAAAAGCTAAAGTCGCTCGACGACGACGACGACGGCGTCGACGCACTCGAAGGCCGGCGCCCAGATGCAGATGGCGTCGATCCGGCCGTCGGTGTCTTGAGTCGCTGCGTCTTGCGCTTGATCTGGAGCATGCGCGACGGGTCGCTCTTGATGAAGAACGGCTGCGAGTACGTACTGCTCGTGTCGTTCTCCTTGGCCTTGTGGAGTTTGCGGAAGCCAAAGTAGTTGAGCTGGCGCTGAAAGCTCGCAAACTTGTTGTGGCGAAAGTACGTTGGCAAAATATCGCGCTCCATTGCATCGTAGTCGTGGACAATGAACGACTTGCCATCATCGCACCAGCCAACGATGCTCGCGTCCTCTTTTGAGAGGATCTCGTAGAGCGACGCAAGGAAGGGCGCGACGACCGTTGTGAAGGACGCCGACGTCGGCTTGGTCTCAGACGCCATTTTGCCACAGAAGAGAAATTGGACTATGCCAGATATGCCTGTAGGAGACATCGTACAGCTGGATCAAGGGATTGATCCCGCGGGACGCCTTTGCCGAGATGTAACTCGGCGCGTCCTCCGAGTGTAACGCAGCTGGACGTGCCGGTAAGCCGAGACGTCACCGCTGCGCGACGAGGAGCGGGCTTCAGATCCAGCGCGTCGATGCGTCGTGTACTAGGATCCTACCCAGTGCAATCCACGCGCACATTGCTCTTTGCAAGTACGGAGTCACGGGAAGTTGCCCTTGCCCTGTCTTTGCCAGTGGCTTGAGCACCAACCACGATCGCTCCCAAACCTGCGCTCGTACATGTACCTAGTACTGGGACTGGTATGCAGAGGTCGACTGAACGCAAGCCGCGACGGTCCATGAAGCGCATACGACGACGACATGTCTGTCGCCATGCAAGCCTTTCGCAGCCAAGGTCGCAACATTGCGGCAAGCATCTTCCGACGACGTGCTTAGACACGCGGGCGACGGTATGGACGGACCGCATCAAGAAAATCAGTACTGAGAGGCGATGAGAGGTGGTGATGGTCCAATGATACAGACAGCGCGCTGGCTCGTCGTCATGTCATCCGACTAGGTCGCGACGCCCCTACCAACCTACTACCACCACCGCGGTGGATCCTCTCTGTAGACATGGAAGAAGAAGAGAGACGATGGCTACGGCCAGAGTAGCTCTGCGCGTGTTACAGCGCTCGCTTGCTACTCGTGCTCGCGCTTGATGGCGCTGTGGTAGTACCGTGTATGGTAAGTAGCAGTCGTGCGCGATGACGGCGCGTCGGCACGGAAAGGCCACCAGGTCCGGCGCTACTAATCGCGAGATCGCGTGTACAAGTAGCCGCACCAGATGGGTCCGCGGAAACTTCAGTCGCCCGCCTCCCTCTTGACGTACTGCGATGATGCCATCGTCGCCGAGCATGGCTGCTTGTCGCTTCCTCTTTCGGATGGACTGCATGAAGTGCAAACGACGTGGTGGAGAATGCGCATTCCAAGCGTGATAAGGTTATTAATATTAAATGACTCGCTAACAACGAAAACTATGGCACAGCAGACAGAGACGACGACGACGCGGATTTACAGATAGCACTCGAGCGGGTCGTCGCAGAGCAGCTGGAGGTCCTCAGTCGTAAAGAGCTTGGCGTCGTCGGTCGTTGCATCGTCGAACGGAATCGGGTCTTCGACCACGGGGCTCGTAAAGAAGTCGTGGTTCCACACCTGCATGGTCGCAAACTCGAGCGCCATTGACGTCTCGACCTGCATGTCGGGGTTGGCGACCGGCGTCGCGAGCGCCGCGCTGGGCATCTGGTAGAGAAGCGCCGGGTCCGAGAGCGCGTGCGGCCGGCCGTAGTTGCCGTTGTCCACGGGCAAGAACGGGTTGACGTTCATAAAGGGCGACTCGTACATGTTGGCGTAGCCGTGCGTCGGTGTCGAGCTCTGGTTGTTGTTTTGCGGCAGGTAGATCATCGGGTCCGAGACGCTCTTGGCGCGCGTGTACGCGTGGTGCTCCATGTCCATGCCAGTATGGCTGTACTGACCCGGGTAGAAGGCAAAGTCGTCGATCGCCATTGGCGACCGCTGCGCGCCGTTGCGCGGCGTCGACCCGTTGCGCGGCGTCGAGCCCTTCAGACGGTGCGTCTTGCGCTTGATGAGGAGCATGCGCGACGGGTCGTTCTTGACAAAGCACGGCTGGCAGTAGATACTGCTCGTGTCGTTCTCGCGCGCCTTGTGGAGCTTGCGGAAGCCAAAGTAGTTGAGCTGGCGCTGGAAGCTTGCGTACTTGTTGTGGCGAAAGTACGTGGGCAAAATATCGCGCTCCATTGCGTCGTTGTCATGGACTACGAACGACTTGCCATCGTCGCACCATGAGACGATCTTGGCGTCTTCTTTCGAGAGGATCTCGTAGAGCGACGCGAGGAAGGGCGCGACCGCCGAGTTGATAGCCTTGGGCGACGACGATGGCATTTGCTTTTGCGGCGAGTAGGTTGTCGGCGACGCGGTCGTGGTCTCGGGCAGCATCGTCGAGGGATCAAGTGATGCCAAAGTAGAAAGTTGGGAAATGAACTGGATGATGGCGTGGTGGGATTGCTAGATATATTTGCGAAACTTCTGGCCTCATCCGCTGGCGTGGATGGTGTTGCCCCATAGTAATTTCACTGTACACGAGCAAGCCCGCGGCAAGGAAGCGACAGCTCCGAGTACCCGACCACCGATTACTCACGCCCAGCTGTCGCAGCCACAGCGCCTGTCGAAACGGCGTTAAAGAGACGGCACGAATGCTCATTGGTGGATCGCGTCGCGTTTATACTGGACGACGCGTTAAACGCGCTGATCCGCGGCATCTCAGCTCGCAGCGCACCATTCCCGGCCTCGTCCGCGCGCTGTAATGCAAAAGATACTATGGGCGATTGATGCCCCTACGGTACCCGGACTTGGCAGCACGTCTTTGGCGCATCTCGGAGGCCGCGACGAGTGGTGCAAGGTTACCCAAAACCAGATCGGGATGCGCTGCTCGCAATGCAAGTGCGATGATTGGTGTCGCCCGTCTCGCGAGACAGGAGCGCTGCCTCCTCTTCCTGCCCACACGCGACAACTTCAAGGCGCAGTGTGGTCAAGCCCAGGTCGTCACCGATGTGACGCATGCTCCATCTGTTTTCTGTCCAAAAGCGTGGCTTGCACATGCAGACACCAAAACAACTCTGTGTTTGTATACTGCAGTGGCTTCCGCGACGCCTGCTGGTACACGATGAGGCCACCGTGTGCTGGACACGCTGATCGTGGCCATCATATCGCCCTCCTTGCAGTGACAGAGTCTCGGCATAGCAGCCAACTCAGTGCGGCGGCGAGTTGAAGCATTGGCGACGGCAACTCTACGAGACGTCTCCGACCCACGCACCGTACGAGCGGCGAAATTTGTGGCCGAAATTTGGCGCCTGCCAAGGTGCCTGTCGAGTGTAGCAAGATGGGCCAAGATGGGCGATCTGGGAGGCTTTTCTGAAGTTTGGATGGTGTCAGGGTGCCAAACTGACCATGCCGCACGGACGATCGGCACCGAAATGGCACGGCGATAAGTCAAGAGATAGCCTTGGTGGCAAGCTGCATAGAAAAGCGGAAATGCGATGCCCGCCTCATCCCTGTCGTGATTGGGATTCGCAATACTAGTACCAGTACGAGTCTTTCATTCGTCCTTGGCCGTTGGCGTCCTTGTTGGCGGGAAAGGAAACGCGCCAATTATCCTCCCACAACCACCGCGCAGTGCGAGCTCCTCCAAGCGCAGTGATGCGACGTAACGGGTCGTTTGCTCCCACACTACGCACTAGTCGTCTGCACCAAGAGCGTGCTTGGCGTCATCCAACGCGCGCGCGATGGAGTAATATGAATCTGCGAACCGTGCCAAAGGACAGCGCGCAAGCATCATCGAGACGGACCCATTGCTCGCACAACGGCAACCGGCCCCAGGATGCAGCGCACCACCGAGATAGGATGCTGATGATGCACTCACAACAGAGCGCTGGATGTTGTCGTGATGCGATCATCGAGTTCACATTGGCCATGCACGTACTTGCAAGCAGTTGGTTTGACGGACCGATCGGTGGAACAAAACCACGACTGGCCCAATCTCGCCCGACGCCGTCGTTTCATGGAAGCACGCGGTCGTCGTTGCCAGGAATGCCAGTGGCAGCGCGGAACCAAGCAGTGCGAGACCGATCCTGGCGACTTGCCAAGACGCCTTGCCATCGAACGTCGCCAAGTCACATGATAGAGACGTTGGCGCGCAAAATTGCTCGAAATTTCGACTTTTTCACTCGTTGCCAGCATAAGTCTAGTACTCGTTGCTTCGCGTCAGACGGCAATTCAGCGGCCGCGTGTCAAGTCGATTTCTGAGCTACTTCCGCGGCCTTGTCGATCAATCTCCTCTCGTCGACGCGTCGACAGTCGTTGCTATCGTCGGTTTCCCTAGTCGATATTCTAGTCGATCGTATTAGTCGATGTCGCGTAGTTGGTTGTAGTCGATCTTTGTAGTCGTTTAGTGGGTAGCAAACTATCCGGATAATTGAACCGCGCGATCTTCGTCCGGATACGAATCGAAAACGGTTGCGGCTGCGGCTGTGAACGGACGTGGCGAGTTTTATTCGGCGAAGTATACAAATACCAAGTGAGCAAATCGAGTTTGGATTAAATTGCACTGGCTACGGCCGCGATCTTTGTCGGCCATTGCCAGATCTTGCGAGTGACCTCATGAAGCTCAAGCGGTTCCTCCTGCGCTACTACCCGCCGGGGATCATCCTCGAGTACGAGCTGCGCGATGCGACCCGCGAGATGAAGGAGATCGACCTCTTGCATCTGACGGCCGAGTACGAGGCGACGCGATCGACATGCGGAAGCTTAGCATGGGCTGCGTAGGTCCGACATTGAGGTGCTCGTCAACCAGATCGTATTTGAAGAGCCGCTCATCTCCGAGTCGCGCAAGCCGCAGCTCCGACGACTCATCTACAGTGCGTGGCCAGCATCGTTGCCGCGCATCAGCTCATGCTTCTGGGTTAGAGCTCATTGAGAAGCTCGAAGTGAACGACAATAGCGACTTTTACCTCTTCAAGATCCTCCGTGCACACATCTTGCCGCTGACCAACTGCGCCTTCAACAAGTCGGGCGACAAGTACGCAAGCGCACACGCCCGCAAATGGCTCATTTCGCCGGCTAGGTTCATCACGGGCAGCTACGACCGCACGTGTAAAGTCTGGGACACCCAGAGCGGCGACGAGCTCTTGACGCTTGAGGGGCACAAGAACGTTGTGTACGCCATCGCGTTCAACAACCCATATGGGTACGTGCGTCCGATGCGGCGTGACCGCTCATGGACTCGTAGCGACAAGATCATCACAGGGTCCTTTGACAAGACGTGCAAGGTAATGAAAGACCTCGCCATGCAAGTTGCTCAACGGAAGCTCATGAACGACGTCTCATAGCTCTGGAATGCCGACACGGGACAGCTCTACCACACGTACCGTGGCCACTCGACCGAGATTGTCTGCCTATCCTTCAACCCGCAAGGCACGGTCATCGCGACCGGGTCGATGGACAATACAGCCAAGCTCTGGGACGTCGAGAGCGGCCAGGAGTTGCACACACTTTTGGTACGAAGCCCGCCCAAGCCCTCCTCATGCTGCTTTGTAGGGACACACGGCTGAAATCGTGAGTCTCAACTTTGACGCCCAAGGCGAAAAGATCATCACCGGGTCGTTCGACCACACGGTCAAGGTCTGGGACGTGCGTAGCGGACGGTACACGCATACGCGCAGTCCGACTCTTATCGTTTGGTTCCTAGCTGCATCCACACGCTCGCGGGCCACCACGGCGAGATCTCGAGCACGCAGTTCAGCTACACGGGCGAGCTCTGCATTAGCGGGTCCATCGACCGCACCTGCAAAATCTGGGACGTTGCCAGCGGTCAGAACGTGCAGGTACTCTCACAAGGGTGATCTCGCACGGTTGATACCATCCGACCATAGACGCTGCGCGGCCATAACGACGAAATCCTCGACGTGTCCTTCAACTCGACCGGCTCCAAGCTCGTGACAGCGTCGGCCGATGGCACATCGCGCATCTACAACACGATGACGGGCGCGTGCCAAGCCATCTTGATTGGCCACGAAGCAGAGATCTCGAAGGTTACGTTCAACCCGCAAGGCTCCAAGGTTTTGACGGCGAGCTCGGACAAAGTCGCGCGCCTCTGGGAAGTCGAGACGGGCGACTGCCTCCAAATGCTCGAAGGCCACACCGATGAGATCTTTAGTTGCGCCTTCAACTATGAAGGCGACACGATCATCACGGGTTCCAAGGACAACACGTGCCGCATCTGGAAGTGCTAAGGCGACGAGGATATGATGATAATGACTACGCGAAGACGCCTTGCCTCTCTTTCGCACGTCGTATCGTAGAGGAGGCATGGTGGCATGGGATGGCGTGTACTATGTGTATATAAGGCGAACGTAGGCTAACATCTTGGCGGCGTGTGCTTAAAAGCCGCCGGCCGGGGCCTCGGGCTGCACCCACGGCAGCAGCACCATGAGGAGGTCGACATCCGGATCGCTCTTCAGGCCGAGGTAGATGACGAGCGGGAGGAAGCCGTAGTGGACGACGGGCTTGACCATCTTCATGACCTGGTTCGTGCGCACCTTGACCTGCTTGTACATGCTGCTTCTCGTCGTCTTCGCGAAGAATGAATGGATGGCGCCCCTCTGTGGTCGTAATACTATTGATTTCCACAGGTTTCCGGATACACGATCATCCGGATACACAGCAGCAAGAGTCTAAAATCACGCCATCGAGTCGGAAGATCGCAATGCGACGGCACGCGAGCCAAGTATCCAGGATCGCTGCCGCGTCGTTCGCTCGAGTACAGAGCAGCGCAAATAGTATCAACAAAAGCTTGATGTGGCGGTGCTTTAGAGGCTTGCAGGCTTGATACATGGCGCATAGGATATCGCTAGTATCCAGACTGGGACTGTATCGCGCCATAAAGATATGGACATCGCGAGCCCGTCGAGTCCAACGGCGACGCCAGGATGCAGGCTCACGCACAGCAGTACCAGGTACTTGTGTGCAGTGGTACCCACACGGAAGCTTTCGGAAGATCATGCACAATATTGTCAAGCGCAATCAGGCAACCTAAATTTGTTGACAATATACATAAATACTTATTGATGCTAGCACCACCACCAGCGCTCTACGGAACAGGTCCAATGACCGCGCGGCAGACGGGGCAGTTGGCGTTCTGGCGTATCCATTCGATAACGCATTCTTCGTGGTACACGTGGCCGCACGGTAGCTGGACAGTTGCCAGCGCGGGCACATTCGCGTGTTGCCATGGTTCAAGGCAGATGCTACAGCCACCGCCGAGCGCCGTCGGCGGCTCAATGTCAGTGAGGTTCATCACCGCGATCGCGAGCCGGTTGCGGGCGCTCGTGACATCGTCCGGGATCATGAGAAACTCGCGCAAAATCACGTAAAAGTGCAGTACTTGGTTGGCCAAGGCCGACGCGCTCACGTCGGCGACCTCGAGGCTCGTGAGCAGCGTGTATGCCGAAAGCACTTCGAACACAAAGCGCTCGACGAGGTCGCGGTCGTCGTCGGTGCTGGCCGCAAACGTCGTCGCGTGGAGCTTGGTCGCAATGTCGAGCACGTGCTCCAGAAGGCGTTCAATGTGGCCGTCCGCGCTCCACGGCTCGGTCGGGTCGGTGTGCATGGCCTCGACGAGACGCGCGAGCTGGACGCGGAAAGCCTCGAGCTTGGCCTTGCTCACGCCGGCAACCCACGTTGCATTTGGTGCAATCGCGGTCTGGATCGTGACGCGGTAGACGAGCTTGGCGCCGACGTAGAGCGCGTGGCACTGCGTCGCGTAGCCGTCCATGCGCAAGCTTTGCAGTCGGCGTTGCATGCTCCTAGATCTCTCGCCCGTCTTGGGACCAGTGCAATGGAAAATGACCCGACAGGTGCTCCTCAAGTGGCAACAGAGTGGCCTTCATGCCGTGAGCTTCTGCCAATCTGGAAAAAAGTAACGGAAGAATATGCGCTCGAGGTTGCCCGCGACCAAATCCGCAGGCCGCTGTAATTCCGTAACTGCATGTCGCGATTTTTTCGAAGTCGCTCCAACGTGCTGGACGCGTGCGATACGATAACGGGGTTGCCACGGCAGTAGCCGTTTAGTAGAAAGGACAACCTTTTTGGGCCACGCGCGCGGCTTGCTTCGGCGACGGAAGGAAGCGACCGCCCACAGTGGCTTGTAGCACTGGCCATGGAATGCACTTCGCAGCAGTCCAGACACAAGTGTACTACGCCTCATCTAGCGCGACATGGCACCTCGTACACGCGTCTTCTACAGCACCATAGTGGTCGCAAGAGCGTCCTGCGTGACGAGGTTGCATGCCGTCGCGCCACTGGCGACTGGCCGATATCGAACGCAGGAGCTTCGATGCACAACCTTTCCGGTCGACGACACCAAGATCGCTTGACGCCCTTGGATCCCATTGGCACAACGACAACCTTTTGCGACATGTAGAATCTTTGGCCTGGATTTGTACATTTCGAGACGAGGTGGTAGATCTTATTGTTCGATGGACGGGACTTGGTATTCTTTGTACTAGATCTTAGTGCTTTGGCTTGTGCTTGGCACTCAGGATGCGCGCTTCGAGGCGCACTTGCTTGGCCTCTGGCGACGCTCGAAGCTCGACACAGTGGCCGAGCACCGCGCTGGCATGTGGCGGAAGCTGGCGCGCCTTGGGCAAACTCGTTGCTTTTCGCAGCGCAAGGCCTGGCACGCTTGGATCGACGCCCATATCAACGGCGCCAAAGAGCGGGTCGAGCAACAAGAAGGGGTACTTTCGGGCCTCGGCCGCCTTGGGTCGACTGAAGCGGTACGGCTCGTCACTCTTCTTGACGACCGGCTTGTCGGTCGTTGCAGTCGGCTTGTCGGGCGTCGGACACGGCCCCGGCGGTCGCGTGTGCCGCAAATCACTGCTTGGTACGAGGCTGGGCACCGCATTACTGGCTTGCAGCGGCGACGTGGGGCGGCTCGGGTTGTTTCTCACAGGGTGCGGGAGCTCGAGCGGCGATCGACTCGTATGGTTCATATCGAGTAGGGCAGGAAGACTCACGCTGCGCCCTTCTGGACTCATGGCATGCTGTGGCGATTGTTTGCTTGGGGATCTAGCGCAATGGCGTTGTCGATCGCACCGACGTTGTACAAAGCAGCAACTACCGTCGCGGCGGACTCTCTTGGCCAAGCGACTGCTTCAGCCGCTGCTCGTCTAGCACATCGCACGTGAGCTCTGGCGATAGCAGCAGGCAACTGTACAGGCTTGGGTCTTCTTGGCGTAGTCCCCCATGTGCCGCAGCGTTTCGCGCGCCATTTCGCCGAGGGACTTGGCGCCGCGGGATGTGATTTTGGCTTTTTGCATCTCCAAGTGGAACGAACAGCCAATGCGAAGCAGGTCGTCTTGGACGTTTGCATTGGCGAGCGCCGCTTGCACCGTGTCGGACGGGACCAAGGCAATGCCGAGAACGATCTGCAGCGCGCTCTCCAGCGCAGGCAGGGAACACGACGGCTCGTGGTCGCGGTACGTCGTTAGCAAGGCCGCGCAGTGCTTGAGGACACCGACGGACAGGAGCGGCGGGATGCAGCGCATGTGGTCGAGGGCCAACGCGCCTAGTGCGCCCATCGCTTGCTCGTGCCTACCCAGAGACGCTCCCACAAGCAGTTCGAGCTAGAACATACATGACGGCTGTTGACACAAAGCTCGGCGTTGACTCGAGCATCACGATAGCGACCGAGTGGACGTGGTGGCGCAAGAAGAGCTCGTTGACGTTCCCGAGGCCGATCGCATTGGTGTGCGCCATGGCGTGGACAAGCCGCATCAGCTCCGTGCGGCACCACTCGTCTTGCTTGGTTGACTCGCTTTGCAAATGCAGGCGCTTCAAGATGCGCGGGAGCATGTTGAGCTTGGCGACCGCGGCGCGGCCCTCCGGCACGCGGCAGAGTGTCGCGACAAGCGTATAAAACGTCGATGGCAGCGCGAGCAGCCTAGCTAGCGCGTGGAATCCGAGTCCTTTTCGCTGCGTACTTTTCATCGTGGACGCTGGTGGCCGTCACGTTCGTGGTACGCACCCCCGAGGCGTCCGGGAGACTGCTCGGGACGTTGGGCACGAGCGTGGACGCCACGTCCATGCAGCGGTAGCTCAGCAGTAGCGACGCCGATGCATTCGTGCACGCGAGCTGCGAGAGGGTCTTGCAGCACCACTTGAGAACGCGCGGCAACGGCTCATCGGACGCGAGCGTGCGCAACACCGCGGTCGCCGCCCTACATGGGCGTCGTGATCCTCTCTTGATGATACTCTCAGAGATCACCCTTCGATGAGCCGTGTGCAGAGCGCTTGGAGCGTCTCGAGCGTTAGCACCACGTCGCGCGGCGGAGATCCAACTGTGACGAGCGTTGTCTCGTGGTTGAGCAGCGGCGACGGACACACGAGCCCGACGAGCTGCAGCGCGCTCTTGACCGCGTCCGTGTCGGCGGCAACACAGTCACAGACCAGACTAGACAGGTCAATTTGCACCCAATTGTCGTCAGGAACGAGCGTACTTGGGCGGCCGTATGTACGCAACGACATCTTCGATCGCGTGGATCTTCAGCAACGTCTGCGCAATGCTGACCTGCGCTGCCACGAGCAGGCTCGGGCCGAGATGCGGCTGCATCTGCACACGCAGACAGCGGAGAAGCGCGCGCATGGCGGCCGCCGTGCTCTGCAGATGCAACTGCATTTCGTGCGGCAAGAGACCGTGGTCAACCTCGTCCATGCGGTTGGTCTGGAGCACGAGCGCAACGTGGCGCAGCACGTCGTCTCGAAACGCAAGCCGCGCCGCAATCGCCTTGACCCGCGTCAAACTCGCCAAAATGACCGTGCTCGCGTGCCTACGAAAAGGAAAATCGTGGACAAACCTAGTCCACTATCGTTGTTAGACCGCTGGTAGCGCGTCTGCGGGTGCGCGTTGGTCTGGAGCGGCTGTACGAGCACTTCGAGGACCACCTCGAGCGCGTTCGTGCGCACGAGGTAGACGCCGACGCGCCCGTCGTCATTATCCGCGCACGCGAGCAAGAGAAAGTCAAATGTAAAGTTCAGCAGCGCAGGCGGCGGCAGCGCCAAGACCATCTCGAGGCTGTCGGCCGACGGACCAAAGCTCAGCGGCGACGGCGACGCGAGGCTCGTGATGACAAGGAGCCCCAGCACAAAGCGGTAACCTACGCGATAGGTTCGTACGTATCAACTTGCGTCAGAAGAGCGCACTGTTGCCGGAGCGGCGAAACCCAGGCCCACACAGTGGCGTCACCAGCAGCACAAGCCCTGCCGTTGTGAGCGCGTCCCGGCCTTCGTCCGTCGCACCGAGTGCAAAAAGCAGCTGAAGCGACGCGAGACCAATCGCGAGCTCCTCGCTCGTGAGGCAGCCCACGATGGCCTCGAGGTATCGGCCGGCGTTGCGCGTCACAACATCGACGAGCGCCAAGTACCCAATGCTCGCGTGCGCCATCTTGTGCAATACCTAACCACAGTGGCGGCTCGGCGCTGGAAACGTTCGGAGTACCTCGAGGGCCGGGAGGGTCAGCGCCGGGTGCCCCACGAGCCGCAAGAGACTCTGAAAGGTGCGCGGGGCGACCACACGCTCGGCAATGATCGCGGGGAGCGCGCGATTGAGAAACGCAGCGTCTTCGTCGTCGACCGACGTGCCATTGCTAGTGCTATTGCTATTGCTGGTCGTGGCGGAGGCAGTTGTAAGGACTGATCGGCGCGTGGATCGCAGTCGCGAAGCTTTCTTTTCAACGCCGCGCGGTCGCGTCAGCTGCAGCACCATGGCACTCATGCTCTTGCACGCAGCATCGAGAAAGGCCAGGGACGCTGTCGTCGTGGTGTCGGACCCTACCCCTACCCCAGCACCATACACCACCACGTATATTTGCCGCACGATCGACGTACCCCGCAGATCGGTGGCGATCAAGTTGTCGGCAATGTATCCGACAATGTTCGAGAGCAGGACGTCGCCAATGCGGTCCTTGTCGTGGGCGAGGATCGTAAAGAGACGCAGCGCCATGAGCTCGAGCTCGCGGTCGGTACGTTGCCGGACGCACTGAACGAGCCAGACGATCGCGCCCGTGTGGTGCAATTTGCGGAAATCTTGCCGGCCTGCGTCGTTTCGGTGGTCGAACTCATATTGCACCAGCGCCCAAACGATGCGCATGTAGGCCAGCTGGGCCCGCGGCGGCAGCGACGCTCCGTGGTGCGCAGCGCGGATCTCCTTTTGCTGTCGCTGGAGGTCCATCGTCTTGGCCAAGTTGACGGCACGGGCGCGCAGCCGCGCTTCCAACGAGATCTCGCGCCGGCGAAGGCTTCGCTCAAACACGAGGCGTCGCCGGGCGTGCTGCAGAACGCGCGCCGCGCAGTCCATGCGGCGCAAGACGCAGTGCAGCGCGCGGAGCACCTACGAGTCCCTCTATGGCTTGAAGGCTTGTTTCCGTATGGATGGCCCACCGCGTTTTCATTGGCGAGCTCGATCGGGTATGCGCCCGTAAAGATCGCGACGAGCTCGGCCATGTTGAAGATGTGCGTGGCATTTGTCGTCGCCGAGAGCTTTGTAAACGCCTTGTTGGTGAGCATCGGCAAGTTGTTGTCGTTGTACGCATACGCCTCTACCACAGAGAATAAGATGACGCTGAGCGCGTCACGAAGGCGGCTGTACCAGGGTGCAGCTTGTTGAGGTGCAAGAGCATTTGTATCGCGAGGTCGCGCCGCCGCGGATCGACGCCGCGCTCGACTTCAATGTACAGCGTCTGAATAGCTTCGTAGATCTTGACCGTGTTCCAAAATCGCGTGTCCCACTCCTCGGCCATGAGAATTTGGTCCTACAAAGGCATGGATGATGCACAGGCGGCGGCGATCGAACGAGGTACGAGCTCGGATTTGTGTAGCGCGCCGTCGTGCTCGGTTGGCGGCGGCTCGAACGAGTGCTCGATGCGCTTCTTGTGCCGTGTGGAGCTCTTGGTTTTCGTCAGCTTGTGCCCTTGGCTCTCGAGGTGGAGCGTGCTGGCGCCAATCTCGCGCAAATGATCGACATCGACGCTGTGCATGGACGCGCGGTGCGCGCGGTGGAGCTCGGCCGCGTCCTGCGCCACCTTGACGGTCCGCGCGACAGGCGTTGGCCCGACCGCGAGCTCCCATGGCTCGGCCATGGTCTGTCTACAAAATGGCGGTTTCACCTGCGCACCAATGGCCTTGCGGCATTGTAACGACTGCAAGCATGAGCTCGGGCCTGTACGAGCGGCAGATGAAGTGGAAGCGCCATGGCGAGAAGAAGGTACTGCACATAAGATGACATGGCCGCATGCGACGGGCGTGTAGCTAGCGCTGGAAGCTCGGCGCCTCGACGACGACCGCCATGGCCCGTGCACGTTCACGCCCAAGGTAGCACATACGTTGCGCACGGTGCATCCAACGCTTGGTAGACGAACCGCGAGTCGCGTGCGCGAATACCAGACGCGAGCAAGCTCACGCACCGCGCCGAAGTCCACGCGATGCAGACGCATGTCGCGCGGCAGCACAAGGCGCGCCAAGTGCAGGACGAAGCGTCCAAGCGGTACACCTGGAAATCAACCCGTTAGGAAGCCTCCATCGCAGCTGTCTTTCGGAGTAGCGCGTACTTTCTCTCGACCAACAAGAACTTTGAGCTCACGACGACGTGCAAGCCATTTCCGCTGAGCAAAACGAACCGCGTCTCCCGCAGCGTACCGTCCATGCTGGACAATTGGGATGCACGTGTCATCCTTGGCTTGTAGCCGACGCGGCAGCGCGCGCAGTCTCTCTCGCCGCGCAAGTCCGAGTCGATGCACCACCACGGCGGGCGCAAGCAGTCGGCGCCCGACACGCCGACCCACCGCGATTCGCCGCGGGCGTCGTCGTTTGTGCATATGTCGTCCAACAACGACCTCGACCGACAAGTGCAACGGGTCCTCGACCACCGCGGCGCGCTCGACGACAAGGCCTGGGACAAGTATCCAAATGTTTCAATCTATCGAGCGCGATGTTTTTGCAAACTGTAGAGAGCGCAGCGTGCTCCTGAGCATCATTGACGCCCAGCGCCACGAGCTCAAGCTGCGCGAGAAGGTTCACAGCGACGCGGCCAAGATCGCCGACAAATTCGCCACGTCCGTTTTGGCGTTTGAAGAGCGGCTTGTTGCGAGTGCGATGACCACTACTTGTGACAACCGAAAGGTTAACCGGTTGTACCTAGTCGAGACCAAACACCGTGCCGAGCTGAGCGAGATGCGCCGGACCATGGAGCGGTCGCAGGCGTCGCTGCAGCAAATTCTGCATGCGCTCGGTGTGCCATCATCGAGCGATGACAAGCCACCGACGTCCAAATCGATGAGCAAGCTCGAGAAAGCATCCACGTAACATGAACAAGTAGAGCACATGCATGACGACGGCTTTGTTTGCCGACTCGTTACGTGCGAACGGAGATCTTATCGGCGTGGAGACGGTCCTTGACCTCCGAGATCTTGACCTCTTGGCGATGAAAGATCCCGGCAGCCAAGGCCGCGTCGCAGTTGGTCGTGCGAAAGACGTCAGTAAAGTGCGACGGTTTGCCCGCGCCGCTCGACGCAACCACCGGGATCGTCACCGACTGCTTGACGAGCCGAACCAAGTCGAGGTCGTACCCGGCGTTCTGGCCGTCCATGTCGACGCAGTTCAACAGGATCTCACCTGCGCCAAGGGCTTCGCACGCCTAGTTTCCGCGTCCATATCAATGTTTCAATGGATCGTGGTACCTGGGTGAGCTCGACGACGTCCATGTCCCGGCCTTCGCGCCCGCCCTTGACCATGACCTGGTACCAGCAGTGCGTCTCGCCGTTGGGGCCGCTTTGGTGCTGCAGCGCAACGACGCGGTGGCGCGTCTCGGCTTGCGAGTGTACGTACACGCGGCGCGGGTCGACGGAAATGACGACCGCTTGGCGGCCATAGACGGTCGAGATTTGCTCGATTGACGTCGACTGTGACAGCACCTTGTTGGCCGCGTAGTAGCCTTCGGCGGCGTCGACGGCGTCACTGCCGATCGACACCTTGTCGGCGCCCGCGCGGAAGTAGCGCGCGGCCACGTCGAGCGCCGACCAAGCGCGTCCGCTGTCGTCTGTGTAGCCTCGGATGCCGCCGCCGACCGTGAGCGGCACAAACACCTACGCCACGTCATCAGAATCCGACTAAGAAAAGTAAGACTACGAACTCTACCTCTTTTGAGGACGCTTCAAGGACCGCGAGCATCGGGGTGTCGCCGAGCGGCTGTTCGCGAAAGCTCGTAATGTTGAGAAAAGCCACTTCGTCGGCGCCCTAAACCCGACCACAGTGAGCCATCCTGCAGTACGAGCGGCGCATGTACTTCGTTGTAGTAGCGCGTGCAGAGCTCGACGGGCTTGCCCATGTTGCGCACGTTTCCGCCGTCGCTGGCTTCGCGGACGTCGTACTGGTCGCCTTTGGTCACAACGAGGTCGCCGTGGTCGTTCGAGCGCACGTCGAGGCAGCTACGAACGCCATGAGATCCCGGGTTTTCATGTACATGAATACATACGCAATGACGCGCTTGCAGAGCGTGGTCGGCGGCGCCACCGTCTCGAACGCATGGAGCGGCAAGGTCGGAGCGACCACCGCGGCGCCTTCGAGGAAGCCTTTCAGCATCTGGAGGCCGACGGCGCCGCTCTTCTCGGGGTGGAACTGCGTGGCCATGACGTTGCCGTGCTGGATCGCGCTGATAAACTCGACGTCGCCATAGTTGGTCGTCGTGAGGACCCACTCGCGGTTCGCGTCCGTCGGCGTCGCGCGGAACGAGTGCACGAAGTAGACATTGGCGTCGTTTTCGAGCTGCGAAAAGAGCGGCGACGCCTTGCGCGCGTTCACGCCGTTCCAGCCAATGTGCGGCACGGCCAGCGACGTCGTTGGGAACTTGGTCACGATACCTGGCACGACGCCGAGGCCCTCGACGCCCGGGCACTCTTCACTGCCTTCAAAGAGCGTTTGCATGCCGAGGCAGATGCCAAAGAAGCGCTTGTTCGCGCGAATGTACGCGCGCAGGGCGTCCACGTACGCGTTCGCATTGAGAAAGTGCATGGCTTGCTGAAAGTTGCCGACGCCGGGAAAGAGGAGCACGTCGGCGGCCGCAATGTCCTCGACGCACGTGACAAAGGTGGCGTCGTAGCCGAGCGCGTGGAGCGCGTTCGTGAGGCTGCGCACGTTGCCGGCGCCGTAGTCAAGGACCGTCACCGTCTTGGTCGTCTTGGTTGTCGTGGAGGCCATTGCGATTCTGGCGACTCGTGGCTGGCTTACCGCGTCCCAAACTGATCTTCGGCCAGCGTCCGGTGTACGCAATCAAGTGCGAATTAAAATTCTCTTGGCGTTCACGGGTTGTCGAAATCGTTTTTATAAAATAAATACCACATACAAAGCACAAGGTATTTATTCAAGGCAAGTCGATTATAATAAACAATATACTGCGAGGCGTTATTAAAATGCGCCTCCACAAGCATTTTCAGATAGTACGGATAAACATGTCGATATCCGAAATGACGTGGCATCGCCTCAAGCGGGCGATCTTGCAGGGGTGTTGAAGTTGGTGGCGAGAGATCCTCCGCCAACGGAAGCCATTTCGTGCGATACAATCGAGAGGTAGCGTTAACATGATGGACCATAGTGGTAGGCACACCGAGCGTGGCCACCGCCGTTCGCGTATATATATGCTGTCTAAATTTGGGCGTGGCGCCGCAAGGCCCAAGATGGCGGCCTTGCCTTGCATGCATATAGAAAGCAGGAGGTGCGAGAAACGGACAGTGTCTTATTTGCAGCGTGAGGAGCATGAGCGAGAAGCTCAAGGCGGACGTGGTGCCGATCGGACCCCTTGCGCTCACGAATCTCGGCCCGGCGTCGACCAACTCGGAGGCGCGCAAGTCCACGACGAGCTCGGGCAAGTTTGCGACTTTTTCCAAGCTCGTGGTGCCCGAGCGCGCGCCGTTTCGACACGGTCTCGTGCTCGCCTTGCTCTGCACGGGCTTTGCAACGATCGTGGCCATCACAACGTACTACCTCAATCAGATTGCGAATACGCCCATCTTCTTTGGTACGGTCATGGACACGTTCAGCAACAACCCGGAAGAAGTGCCCATTGGCGCGCTCCTGCGAGGCTCGGGCGTCCTTTCTGCGGTCAGCGCAGGCAGCGCGAATCCGCCGTCGCTCATCGACTTGTACACGACAAGCTGCACCGATGCTGCGTGCGCGGCGGCCTATGCACCGACGGCGCTCTTGGCGTGGAAGATTCTCGGCAACGCATTTGCGCTCATCCCCAACTTTGACCAAACCGCGTTCCAGGACCCGGCGCAAACCGTCCAATTCTCCCACATCAACAACCTCGCAGGGAAGAACACGCCGTTGGCGCAGTTTTACATTGACGGCAAGTCGATCGCGATCACGTGCATGATTCGCCGCGCGAGCTTCTACCTCACGCAACAAGCCGCGTCGACCGCGGTCAACGACGCCCTCGCGTTTTGCTCGCAGCGCAATTACGATGCCAACTGGGGCTGCGAAAACGAAGTCGACCCGACTGTCAACACGTACGTGCTCCAGATGAACAAGGGCGTTGCGAGCTTCATTGGCGTCGTCAAGCGCAACCAAGTGTACATGAACGCGGGTCGTCAAGCCGAGCTCTCGGGCGGTCTCTCGGGCGGCGTCTTTCTCCAGTCCGTGCCCGGTGTCGACGAGTACCAAGGTGGTGTCGTGCAGGCAAGTGCACCGTGGGACGTGCTTGCCGTGACCAGCTGCGCGACGCTCAACCCGAGTACCAACTCGGGTTGGTTGCTGCAGATGCAAGGCGTCGTGACGATGACGTGGAAGTGCGACTCGCTCATGCTCACCAACTCGATCGTCCTCTGGGTCATGACGCTCTATTTGGTGCTGCTGCAGACCATTTTCTTGCGGCGCAGCGTCATTTGCGTCATGCCCGTCTACATGTCCAAGAATGTGGTCGGCGCCGCGATTCTCTTTGTGGCATTCTGGGGCAACGAGAACCTCCAAGCGCTCTCGACATTTCTGCGCCAAAACCCCGTCGTCGGCTTCAACACGACGTTTTACGCGCTTTGCGGCGCGGCCCAAATCGCTTCGATCGTCGGCATTATGACGGGGACTGCGATCCAGATCTGGTTCAACCCGCTCATTGTGACCCAGACTTGGCTCCTCCTCGCGTTCAGTCTTGTCAACTGGGTCGTCGTCTTTGTTCTCGAGGGGTTTGTGTTTCCCTATGCGAGCTCCAACACGCCGACGACATGCGCGCTCACGTCGTCGACCAACTGCTACACGTTCAGCGCGATTTCCAATACGTACTTTGTCTCGGCGATCGTCTGCGGCTTTGTCGTGCTCTTGGCGATCCTCACGATTTACTACGACGCGTACCGCCGCCCCGACCCGATTGTGATTGCCGCAGAGAACAGCATGCTGCAGTACCTCACGGTCTCGGACTTTTCGACGATTGCGACGACGACGCGCGGGTGCTCGCTCGTCGACAGCAAGAGCGGCGCAACGCTCATCGACGAAGGCGTTTTGCTCATCAAGAACATGCTCCACGTCTCCAACTCGAACCTCACGCGTCTCTCCAACGTGCAGTACGAAGTCATCTTTCGGTTCATTCCGACACGACTGCTCAAGCGCCTCTTCAGCGAGACAGTCGGCTCGATCCTTATTTACAAGGTCGTCGACGGCAAAATCACGGGCGAATTCACGCACAAGTTTCTCCACGAGATGGAAATCGGCTCGATGGACAAGGTCTCGGGCTATATTTCGTAAACCAAAACCTTTCTTTCTAAATACATCAATGCTTGTCGTTCTTGATTTCGACCGCCCAAAGTTTGAGATAGATATAGAAGACGAGTATAACAACGCGCGTTCAGACCTTTAACGTCCCTCTTGAGCGGTGTCGCCACACGGGCGTAAACACGCTACCGGGTCCAAGAACGCGGCCAGCACCTCGAATAACAACACTAAGAAAGGCGTCCGTCCCTGCATCTCTGGCCCCGCCACGCCCTGAAGGAGCTGGATCAATTTGTTGAGGAGCTCGCTCACTAAATCGTGTCAATGGCCAACGTGTGAAACGGCGAGTCATTGCAGGGATAAATATAAGCAACATGGGCCAGCAACGCAAGCCGCCGTGGCGAGAGACGCTGAGCTGCAAGGTACACCACCAATACCTCCTCATACAACACCTTTCCATCGGACTCTAGGTGGCCAGAGCCAAGGCGGTCGCGCGCAGTACAAACGACGACGAAATGCGCGGCAACCCGTACCATGCCGTGTACTGTGTCGCATCTATTGTGGATGAAGCTTCAGGCAACACCTTAGGCTCTCGATTTTGCCCACCGATTTGTACGAAGAGAAGCGAGCGTTTGCCGCCAAAACGTGCCGCGGCAAGCTCCCGCTCAAGCCAGAGAAGGGCCGCGACCCGTACGGCGTTGCAGCCGACCAGATCGACAACAACATTCCACTGGGCATCTACGACACGGACCGTGGCCGAAACCAGGTATCCAGATATTGCATTGGATACTTGCCAATATGTATCCAAGGGCATTGCCAAAGCCGTGGCGTCGTCGCAGCAGACGTACGCTCCGGCGTTCAAGTACTCTATCGAACGCAAATAGTGTGTGCTTATAGATACATTTGCAGATCCCGCCGCGGCCGGTTCCTTGGCGTGCCCAACTACAAGCTCTCGACGCACGCCATCAACGCCAAGGAGCCTTATGCGTAGGCTACGACGCATCTTCCTGTTTGCATAAAGGTATATACATGTAGGAACCCAGAGCAGATGGGGCCTGGCACCTACAAGCTGCGTCCGACGACCCTTGTCGTATGCGCTGTCCCTGTATTGTTGAAGCCATCTTTGTCTTAGATCAAGCATTTGCACGAGCCCGGGTACACGTTTACGAGCCAGGTCGACCGCTTCGAGTCGCCTCAGCGGGTAAATGCTAGTCCATCGACCAAGAAGCTCACAATGCAAAGTAGTCGTACGCCGAGTCAACGACGACGACAGCGCTGCCATCGACACTTGGGAAGGCGCCGGTGAGCACGGTGGCCGTGTCCATGACCCCGCGCTTCACGTCCGACTCGACCTTCCCCGGTGCGAACGCGTCCGCGAGTGTCATGTACAAATGTGTCTCGTCTGCCCAGAGAACTATGCGTCGTCCAAGCAGCAGCGCATCTTTTACCCGCCCGATATCGTCTACGACAAGCCGCTCACCAAAGTACTTCAAATATATATAGTTTCGCTACCGATGCCATGTCAATATGCAATATAGGACACGATCCAGGACCGCGTGGCCACGACGCACGTCAAGTACTCGGCCATGACGTCGCAAGCCGGCCGGCTCGTCTCGGTATTTTTTAATGGCTTTTCGCGCCATTTTTCAGATTATTGCAAATTGCACTTGATAGACGGCGTCCATGGTCCACAATACCGTGGGCGCGCCCCGCTTGCATGCATCGACGGGCGACGCGCTCGGGCCGGGCGCGTATGCGACGCCGTCAACCTTTGCCAAGCCAGCGACAAGCAGCGTCCTGCCCCAAGTCTCTGAGGTAGAAAACCTGGCCTCTACGGGCACCTGCCATGCGCGCTGGTGTAGCACTCCAAGGACCGGTTTGGGATGAAGGCAACCAAGCAGGCGCAGTGCATCGAGACGCGCTTCCGGAGGTTCTGCATCTCGTAGTCGGTCGCTCTCTCTTCCGCGCGACTTGGGAATTTGCCCAAGTCGAAGAAAGCATAACCAAAACGAATTCCACGGTCTTTTATTCTTTTCGTGTCGTTAAACGTAATATTTGTATGTTGAATTAAACGATTGGAATAAAATGGCCGAGCACGGGCCATTTGGAAGATTGCGTCCAGGACGCATGGCGGACGAGACGCGCCGGCTGCGGCCCATGCGCATGGACGAGCTCGAGATGGATCATGCCGATGAAGTAGATGGTCTTGACTTTGACTACCTCATGGCGCTTATCTGCAACGCCGTCGGGCCCGGCGAGAAGGACGCGCCAAGCCACACGGGCGCGTCGCTCGGCCACATTGGTACGACAAGCTGCATGATCTTGCCATGGACACGGGTACATGCGCATGTAGATGACGACGATGAAGATGACGATGAGGACGACGATCAAGACCATGATGACGACGATGGCGACACGAGCTCATACGAGGAAGGCGAGCTTGAGACGCTCTCGACGCATGCCCGTGCCGCGACGTACGACGTACCCATGCAGGCAGCCCATGCGTCGTTGCGCGCTACTGACATTGATGGCGGTCTCTTGCATCGAGATGTGTCCCACTACCTCGCAGCACGACAGCACTGCAAGACGCCAATGGCCAGGCGACCGACCCATTTGAGGCAGACGTTGCCTCTTGCAGCGTCGACCGCCAGCTTTGCGGCCACGTCTTCGTACCAACCATCCACGTCGCTCAGCGCGCGCCGACGCGTGTACCCCAACTACGAGCGCAGCATGCTTTTTGGCGAGAAGGCGCTCGAGCTGCGCGATCTCGAGACAATCCTCAGCGAATACGACATGGACGACGCGCCGGGCGACAACATGAGCCGCCTCTTCCCGTCCGACGATGACGACGACGACGACGAAGAAGAAGATACCAAGCAGGCGCCGTCCATCGACTACGAGCAAAACCTGCTGTCGCATTTCTCGATGCTCGGGTTCGACGCCGACATTGTCTCGTCCGTGCTCATCGAAGTCGTCGACGCACGACGCAGCACCAACGAGATTTGCGCGACGCGCCAGTTTACATCGATCGTCCAAGCGCTTGTCGACGACCACGGTAGCGACAACAACAACAGCGACAACGAGCGTGGGGCCCGCAAAATTCGACAGGAGCACGTCGCACCCAGCGCCGTGCAAGCCACGTCGTTTCCTTGGCCCGTATTTGATATGGTACACACACGTAAACCCCTTTCGTCGTAAACGTTATGGGTAGGCGCAGTACGAGTTTGGGACGGCGCGCCCTGGCACGTGCTTCTCGTCGGTCGTCGTGCTCGTCAACGTCCCGCCCGTGAGCGACGCAACGAGCGAGACGTTGCACGGGTGTCTCTTGTCGCAGCTTTTTTCCAAGCTCTCCAACCCCATCCAAGTCGTCCTGCCCGTCGTACCCAGCACGGGGCTGCTCAAAGGGTACATGTATCGTGCATGCGACGTGAGCCTGAGAACGATTGTGGGTAGGCATGGCTTCCTCGAGTTTTCGGACCGGCCAAACGCCACTGCGGTCGCCCGCGCCCTCGACGGGCTAACATGGAGTCCGGCGTTCCCAGCCTTTCGCGCAATGCTCTTCCGCGAGTATGACGGCAGCCACCGCCTTCTGGACAACCACAAAGACAGCAGTAGCTTCGCCACTCGTGTCGACGACACCAGCAGCAACAACAACTGTGAGGACGAGCTCCGCTTTCACGCACTGGACCTCGAGAGCGAAGACGACGAGAACCACTCAGATGCTCTTGACGCGTCGTCGCGCCGCATGACGCGCGTGGAGCACCAGCTCGTCCAGCGGAACGAGCAGCTCGAGTACCTCATGCAGTGCGTCGAGCGGGACCGGGACGCGATCCTTGTACGCTGCAATTTGATGTTGATGGGTTTTGACGACTTCTACTTAGTCGGAGAACGACGAGCTCCGGCGCATGATGGAGGCGTACCGCGAGCGGGAAAAGCAGCAGGAGCATGCGCTTCTGAGCCTCTCGAGTCTGCGCCAGCGCATCCAGCTCAACGAACAAAAGTACCGCGAACACATGCGGCGTATGCGACAGAACGAGCACGTGACCCAAGCGCTCCGTCGCCGCCTCGAAGAACTCTCGGGGTCCGATTATCGTTCATGCGCGTTTGCATATCCCTTATGGACGACGTACGTAGGCACCCGCAGTCACTCCACGCCCTTGGGATTGCCGAGCTGCGCGAGCTCGAAGACACGCTCGACACGGCCTTGTACAAAGTGCGCACGATCAAGGTCCTTGTGCGATTCGCAGCAAAGGCAAGCTCATGGGGCTGTAGGAACAAAAGATTCAAGAGCAAAAGCAGCAACTCGATCGGCAGGTCGAAGTACAGCAGGAGCTCAAGCTCTGCGTGATTTGCCTCACGGCGGAGAAGACGATTCTGTGCTTGCCGTGCCGCCACGTGTGCATGTGCCAAGCGTGCTCAGGCCATGCCGAAGTGACGCGGTGCCCGATTTGCCGCCTCGACATCCAAGAGAAGATGCTCATTTATGCCTAATTGCAAATTGCACTACACTTGACGACAGGATGGCGACAGCAGCAATATAAACTCTAGCCACCAACCAGCACGATAAATAAACCTTCAAAATCTGAAACCAATATCTGGATATTCTTCCGTTGCCTCGAGGTCCATCAATCAACTAGGGTCCGGGGGAGTGGGCTGGTAGGAACGATGAAATCATATGGATTAAGCCATGTTGTCGGCGACTTTGGCCTTCACGTCGTCGTCGCTCACGTCCATCGTCGTACGAGGTGCTCGGAACCGCTCGAAGCCAGTTGATGACAATGGGCATGCAGCAGTGTTCCAATTCTGGATGAGCGCGTGGCGAATCACATCCAAAGCCTCGAACTCGGGCGGTGCCCCCGTGAGAAAGTAGCTCGCAAGGCCGAATCGCAGCCGTAGAGCCGCAATTTTTGACCGAGTTGCGGACCGCTCGAAGGGACTGAAAGACACAGCGGAGCCCACCATGCTCAAAATCCACCGGGGCCGTTAAGTGACTCGTCGTGGCACACATGAGCGTCGGGTTGCCCGAGCAGTAATTGTGAAGTGCTGCGATCGCTAGTTTTGGGTGCTTGGTAAAGTTTTGTGACGCTGCGATCTTCAAGCCGCACGACCTTTTCTTCGTGCGTCTCGGTGGCCTTCTCGACGGCGCGCGCAGTGGTTTTGCTAAGGCGCTGCTTTTCCAGCCGAGCTGCTTTCTCTTCGTGCGTCTCGGTGGCCTTCTCGTCGGCGCGCGCCTTGCGCTTGAGCTCATTCGATTCTCGCATGTTGCTTAAATGTCTAGCTACATGGCTGCATGGCGCTTTAGTAGCAAAAGCGGCTGGTCAATGCACATCATGGCGCCGGCCTGTCAAAACGCATCAATGAATTGTTGCGAGCTGTCCAATCATACTACGCAAGCAACAACATTTTAACCAATCCAAAATGGGACAGACAAAAAACAAACAAAAAACAAACAGGCAAATAATCCCTGGTGGGCTGGGTAACCAGGAGGTTCCTACCAGTACATGTCTTTTAGTACTACCTGTATTATGGGACACAACTTGACGAGATGAAAGATTAATTTAAATATTTAAATAATTCTTGAGATTGCTCTGAGGATTTTCGACGAGCACCGTGACGGTGGTGCCATTTGATCGACAAAATCGAGTTTGAAATGGATTCGCTCAAAGTTGGCACAGTGATAGAAGACCCTTTGGAGAGCAGAGCAGACCGCGTGGTGGCATCGGTGGAGTCGTAGAACGCGCGCAATGGTCGATAGTAGAATAAAGCGCTCTTTAAACGTTAAAAAGCAATGACCACATTGCCACGCCGTATTCTCACACCTAGTGACTGCACCGATGCCACCGCGTAGTCTGCTCTGCTCTCCAAAGGGTCTTCTATCACTGTGCCAACTTTGAGCGAATCCATTTCAAACTCGATTTCGTCGATCAAATGGCTCCACGGTCGCTGTGTGGTGCCCGCCAAATGACATTATCCGGATGCGATCTTATTTCCGGTATTTTCCTTTGCTCTGCTTCCTGAGGCCTCAAGTACTTCTGAAAATGTATTACATCACTGTGCCAACTACGGGCGCTGTCATTTTCAAACACGATGTCGTCGACCTAGCGGCACAACCGTCCTGGTGGGATCGTCCAGATTCGCCCTATCCTAGCGCTGCCGCATCCAAATGTAACAAAGAATTCCTTCTCGTGCACGAGTTAACTAGCATCCAGGACGCGACTTGATGTGTGCAACACAAGACAGACAATATGGCGGAGATATACATGTATAGTGGCGGTCTATTAATAATAACGTGCGCGTGCATCGATCGTTTACGCGGTGAGGTACTGGTCGAGCGACTCGCCCGAGATGTCTTCAATCTGGCGAATGACCTTGTGGCAGAGCGCTTCGACGTTGGCGTCGTGGTCTTCGAGGAGCTCGGCCAAAAATGGAATGCTCTCGGGCAGCATCGCCAAAAACTCTTCGCCGACAATCGCATAGCACTGCTCGATCGTCTGGAGCGTCGCGAGGCGCACGGCCGGCTCCTCCGCGCGCGACTTCATCAAAATGCGGTGGTGCATCGGCTTCCAGAGCAGATCGTTCTTGGCGGCCCACGCAAGGTGCGCGAGCGCGACGACCGCGCCGTCGACCACCGGGCGCGCGACTTCGAGCGAGGCCAAACCCAGCAGATCGACAAGCGGCGGCATGACGACATCAAACTTCTCCTTGTCCATAAAGCCGTCCGTGTCGTGGCTGAAGCAGCCAATGAGCGCCGTCACCACGTGCGCCGCGAGCGGCCATTGATCCACAACGACCACGTCCTTCTTGGCCTTCTTGGACGGGCGTTCGAAAAAGCCATCGGTGTTCTCGGCGTCGAGCATCGACACGCCGGCGTCGATCGCCGACAAGAGAATTGACGCGCAGAGCGGCAAAATGTGCGCAAAGTACGGCACAAAGATGCTCTTGAGCTTCTCCGAAAGCTGCGAGACGACGCGGAAGAAGACGAGTTGGCGCGCGTGCGACGGGCCCTGCGTGTGGGGCAGAACGACGTCGACCCACGACACGAGCTTGAGGAACAGCGGCTTGAGCTGCTTCTCGCTGAGCTTCATGACGAGCGCAAGGAGCGCACCAATGAGCTGGTCCTCGACGTGTTCGCCAATGGTCGGGTGCAAGCGGCGCAGGTCCAACGCCACCAAATACAGGCGCATGAGACCGGCCATGTGGGCCTTGACAGCCGCGCGGTCCATGCCCGTGACGATCGCCGTCACCATTTCAAAGAAACGGAGCAGCGCGACGTCGCCGCGGCCGCAGCACACGGGGTAGAGCTCCATGAGCGCAGGCAAAAGATTGCGGAGCTCGATACCGTTGGCGAGCGCGAGGATGGTCGCATCGACCGACGCGCGGATCTGGACGTGGTGCACGTTGAGGAGGCTCGGCACAAAGAGCAAATGGAGCATCTTGGGCAAGTACGACACGAGGAACTGGGGAAACTTGGTCGTCATCGCGCGCATGGCCGCGAGGAGGCACTGCTGCAGCGTCAGCGTCAAGCTCGCATCGGCGGAGCTGGCCGACGTCGAGGCGTCGAGACAGGTGAGCAGCGTCGGGAAGAACTGCGGCACAAACGGAAAGACGGCCGGGCCGAGCGAGTGGCAGAGGTTCGAGAGGCACACAAACGCCGAGCCGATCACGTGGCCGTTGGCCGTCACATCAAGCGGCAGCTTGCAGCACGCCATGACGGTCGGGAGAATGTTCAGGAATGGCTGCGCGTGCTTGTGCGCGAAAAAGCGCGTGAGCACATCGACGCTCAGAATCGCCATTTGCTTGTCCGTCAAAAGCGCCGACGGGTCTTCGAGGACGCTCGAGAGGTCGTCGAGCATATCGACAAACAAGAGCTCTTCTTCAAACGTCAGCGTCGCCTCCGTTTCCTCAATGCGCTCGTTGAGCAGCTGCAGCGCGCGGCGGCGAATGACACCGTCTTCGTGCTGCAGAAGCTCGCCAATGACGGCGACAAAGCCGGGGGCCGTGAGCAGCTGCTGGAGGTTGTTCATGGCCTCGAGCGCAGTCGCTGCGATGGCGTCCCAGCGGTCGGCCATGTCGTTCTTCTTGGCCGCCAGCGCTTCCTTGGTCTTGGTCACACGGCGAAGGAAGAGGAGGATGCCTTGCGCGAGCAGCAAGTACGCGTGCTGGAGCGACTTTTCCACGTCGCTGTTGTCGAGCAGCTGGTGGTGCAGGCCCTTGCGCTCCAAATGACGCGGCACAAACGACACAATGCGGTCGAGCGTCGCGTTGGCCAACTTGGGGTCGATGACAAAAGCCACGTCAGCCTCGTCGTCCTCGTCCTCGTCGTCTTCATCGTCATTGGCGCGCGGCGCAAGGTGCGCATGGAGCTGGCCCGCGATCGAGAGCAGCGACACGAGCGCACGCATCTGGAGGTCGGCGTCGAGCGCCTCCAAGAGGGTGTGGCAGAACGCCGACCGCGCCGGCACGTCGGTCGCATGCTGCAACAAGAGCGTGACGGCAATCGCAGCCGCGTCGTCGTCGTGGGCGCCAAGGGCCGTCAAGAGCACGTTGAACAAGGTCGTCCGGCGCCCAATCGGGAGCGTCTCGTAGGCCGCGACAAAGGTCGCAAGGAACTGCTGCGTCGAAATGTCGCTGGCGTCCGTGTGCACGTACGGCACGGCGTGCGTCACAATCTCCTGGAGCACGTGGAACGAGTATTCGTCGAGCTGCAGCTGCGACGCGAACGTCAGAATCGGCACAAGCGACTGGAGCACGTGCGTCGGGCACAAGTCGACGAGCGACGACACAAAGAGGAGCGCGGCGTTGCGCGTCTGCTGCGACACCGTGTGCTGCACGACGCGCAGCGTGAGCTCGACGAACGACGTGGCGTGCGTCGTCGACGACGCATGCCCACGAAGCCCGACCGCAACGCCGTGGAGCGCGCTGAGCACCATCTGGACGCTGTACTCGGACACGTCGTCTTTGGCGGCCACAAACTGCGCGAGCACGGCATGCAGCGGCGACAGAAGCGCGTTAAGATCGTCGACAGCGTAGTTGGCGATCAAATTGCTGACGACCTCGAGCACGCACGTCGTTTGCGCGACCCACGAACGCTCCGACTTGACGGCGAGAAGGCCCGTCACGATGCGCACCGGCAGTGAAAGGCGCACAAGGAGCGACGCCACGTCCGACGGCGTGCTGTCCGCGCCCGTGCGGAGCAGCACGACCAGCGCCTGCACGAGCGTCGTCTGCTTCCCCATCGGCAACGCGCTGAACCACGTGGCCTCCATCGTTTTCGCCAAATGGCTGTGCAGCGGCGCGGCCGACGGCGATGCGACCGTCGCAAGCACGACCTCGAACGTTGCGCTCGCCGGCGCGCGGAGGTAATGCGAGAGCAAGTCGGCGCCAATGCTGGCCGTGAGCGGCGTCAGATTCGTCTTGAGGAGCGACGTAAACCAGCCAATCGTCGTTGTCCAGACACTGTCCAAATGCACAAGGTGGAGCACGCGCAGAACGTTCCGGACGCGCTGGAGCAGCGTCGACGAGAGCGCGTCCTGCGGCACGAGCGCGGTCGTCAGCACACGCGAGAGGAACGCCTTGTCCTTACTGACGTGCGCGCTGCAAAACGTCGCCACGTACGACGCATCCATCGAGAGCTCTTCCTTGACCTTGAGGAGGGCGGTGAGCGTCGGCGTGTACACGGCAAACGCGTCGCGGCCCTTCTTGTCGGTGAGCGAGAGCTTGCTCAGCGGCTTGAGGCACTGCGCGGCGGCGTTGCGGAGCGCCGTATGGGCATGCGACAGCGCGACCAGAAGCGCCAGCACCACGTGGTGCACATCGTCAATCGAGACCATCGACGGCGTGCACTCGATCATGACCGAGAGCAGCATGACCGAGCGCGTGAGGACGTGCGACGGCGCGTCCGTGTGCACGAGGCGGCAGAGCGAGTGGAAGAGGTCGGTCCAGTGACTCGCGTCCGACGCAAGCGCAGCGTGGAGCACGGGCTGCACGAGCGTAAAGTACGCCGACGTTGACGACAAGAGCAAGACGAGCGCCGCGTCGTACGTCAAGGCGTCCTTCTTGAAGCTCGTGCGCATGAGGTTGCAAATGACTTCGACCATTTCGGCGATCCGCGGCCGGTCGACCGATTCGATCGGCGTCGACGCGTTCAGGCCCGTCCACGTCGTCGTGAGGAGCGACAGCAGCGGCGTCGCAAGCTCCGGCGTCGTCGCCTGGCGACCGTCGTTCAGAATACGCATGACAAGGAGCGGCAGCGCTGTGTGGCGGTGCACGGACGGGAGAGCCCACGCTTCCACAATCGAGGCCGCGGCCAAGGTCGTTTGCGACCCAAAGTGACCGAGCACATCGATATCCTTCGTCGCCGTCGAGAGACCGTCGGTGAACGGCGCGACCGAGAGCGTCGCGAGAAGCGGCGCCACGGTGCTCCACGCGACCACCGGCTTGGTGGCGAGGACCGTCGACTGCGGCGCAAAGGCGAGGAGCATGTCGAGAATCGTCGCGTCATGAATCGAGCCATGCGTGTCACGGAACGGACCCGTCACAAACGTCACAAGCGCAGTCATGGCCGTCGCGAACGCGCTGTGGAACGCACGCGCGTTGAGCGACACGGCAATCTGCTCCAAGAGCTGATTGGCCGACGCAGTCTGCAGCAAAAGCGACGCGACCGCCGGCGAAAGTGCCGCGACAATGACGTTGGGCGCGTCATCGTTGAGCCGGCGCAAGAGCACGTCCGGATCTTCGAGCGCCGCCGCGTCCACGTCTGCGAGCACGCTGAGCGCGTGCAGTCGCACCGAGACGGTCGGGTGGTCCAGGGACAGGAGGAGCGAGACACCACTTTCGGCGAGCGGCACGTGCAAGGCGGCAGCCGTGCCCGTGAACGACGTCGAGACAAAGTTGACGCAGAACGACTGCAGATCGGTGTCGAGGCTCGCATCCGTCAGCATTGCATTCAGGCCAGCGTCGAACGGCTCCGGGTACCGCTTGGAGAGGAAGAGAAGCAAGCGCTGGAGGCGGTCGGCGACCGACGGGGTCGCGTGGGCCGCCGAGAGCATCGACCGGACGAGCGACGCGACAAAGGGCGCAACAATTTGCCCGAGCGCTTGGGTCACATCGAGAAAGAGCTGCTCGGAGGTCGCGTGCGCGTGCGCGAGGGCAACTGCCTCGAGGAAGAGGCCGAGGAACTTGGTCGTGTCGTACGCTTCCATGGCGTCCATGAGCAGCTGCGGAATGTCGTCGAACTTGAAAATGTGCTTGAGCGCGTCGGTCGGAAACGTCTCGAACGGCTGCGACTGGAGCACGCCGATGAGGCAGAGGAACGCGTCAAACTGGGCATGCGCCGGCGCCGTCTTGGCAATCACAATGACAAGCTGCTGCCGCGCCGCGGGCGACAGCGTCGCGTGCGTCGTGAGCTTGGTCGCGACCATGTACGCGGCCGTTTGCCGCTCCGGAAACGACTTGTCCTTGAGGCCGTCGACAATGTTGGGCAGCACCCAGCGCAGAATGTGCTCGGACACGCGGCTCTTCTCGAGGATCTCCATGGCCACGAGCGCGTAGAGCGCAATGAGCTTGGCGTTGCGCGCGCCAATGCGCACGGCGGCCGTGTGCAAAAAGCTCACGAGGCTATAGTCGGCAAAGCAGCGCTTCGACAAGTTGGCGCGGAGGAGCGGGACGTTGTTGGTCTTGACGTGCTCGAGGAACGCCCAGCGCGGGTGCTTGGCCAAGTCGCAGATCGTAATGAGGCGCGCAAAGACGGGCGACTCGTGGTAGCAAATGGTCATCGCGAGGATCTGGTCGACGTTCCAGACGTGGATCTCGTACTTGCGCACGAGAAACTCGATGACTTGATGTGTGGGCGGCAAAAGAAAGTACGGCGAGAGCGCGTCGAGGAGCAAGCCGAGTTCGAGGTCGAGGGCGACGACCTCTTCTTTTGTCAGCAGCATCCGGCTGTACTGCGCATGTGCTTTGTTCGGGTGCAGCAGCGTGTGCTGGAAGACGTCCAACGACCCGTCCATGCTGCACAGCGTCTCCATACCGGTCTTGGCCAGCTCAAAGGTTGTGCGGCCATCGATCTTGGCCGCGACCTTGGGCTCGTGCAGGAACGAGGCGACGGTCCGCTGCGACGACGCGCTCGTCGTCTGTACCTGGAGCGCATGGAGCTGCGAGGCCAAGGAAGAGGTGCTCATGCTGCTACGGATGGTCGAGGTAGACAGAGAGACGACGAGGTATCTACGGCGACGATCCAAGCGACGAGGAACCCCGCAATATGGAAAATGGGCAATAAAATACCCGACCGAAAATGACTGGATTCCATTCAACCTCAATATAGCGCATTTTAATTCGATCACGCTTTAAATCGGCTCCAGTGGTGTGCGTCGGCACCGATTGGTTAAAACTCCACCAATCAGCGCACCGCACCCTTCTAAAATCGCGACTTCTTATTCTTTCTATGCCATACAAAACACCACCCAAAGCCAAACTCGCACATAACATGCAGCATCGTCCGGGCGCATCACGTTGAAGCCGAGGCCCATGGACACCCTCGAGCAACAGGTAGACTTCGCATGCACATGCCAATGCAAAAGAGCTCTCCGAGACGTGGCAACGGGCCAAGGAGGACCGAGACAAGCATCCTGGCGTCGTCGGTATCGCTCCACCGCCGACAGATCACAGAGGCGGGCATAGGTTGTGCGATACTAGCTCGCTATGGTAATAGTCGTGAGGACCAGAATGATATTCTGAACCACGTGCCCACACCAGAAACGTTGTGGGTCAGGTGCAACCTCGTTTCAGAAATGGGGTGCGCTATACTGGTAGTGGCTTGCCTACGACGGCTAAAGGAGCATGGGCAATGAGATAGCTTCAGCCGCCACATGCAAACATGTAGGCTGTTCGATCACGCCACTTGAAGGCAGCAAGCAAGCTACCGTGGTCTTGCCAGCGGCTAGTACAATGGCACGTAGATGCCCCAACTGAGGTTGAGCTCTTAATGAGGCAAATTCCGGATAGTGACATCCGGATATCGATTGGTTCCTGTCCATTGTTTTGTGGTTTTGCATTTTCCTTCCCCGACGACGACGACGATGCTGAGCCGTCTCTCCTTGGTCCGCAGCATGGCTGCGCTCTCGCTCAAGGCGCCGATGATGCCGACGCTCCGTGCCATGTCCACGGCCGCCGAGGACATTGCTCTGCCTTCGCTGGAAGACGCGGCCGACAACTTCCGCACGGTGCGCACGATGAAGAAGGAGATCCGCGTGAGCCCGCGCAAGCTGACGCTTCTCGCGCAGCAGATCCGCGGCCTCCCGGCTGAGGAGGCGCTTACGCAGATGCACTTTTCGCCCAAGCGCAAGGCGGCCATTGTCAAGAAGACGGTCCAGAACGCGATCAACCTTGCCGACATCAACTATGGCATCGAGCCCTCGAACCTCAAGGTCGCCGAAGCCTTTGTCAACAAGGGTCTCTTCTTGAAGCGCCTGAAGATCATGGGTCGTGGCCGCTCCGGCATCAAGCACCGCCCCCACAGCCACCTCACGATTGTGCTCGAAGAGTTTGACCCGGCCTCCAAGCCCATTAGCAAGACCAAGGCGCGCAAGCTTGCGCTCAAAGCGCAGGCAACGGCGCCTGTCGAGACTGCCGCCGAGTAAAGGAACTTACTGTAATAGAAGAAATAAGACACAAGCATTAGACGCCTGTACGTCCACCTCCGTGAACACCAAACGCCTCAGCGACAAAACACAAGGGTTTATAAGAGTGTATACCCTGGAAACGACCATCAACGCAGCAGCCAGAACGCCCACAGACAACAGAACGCCCACAGACAAACCGACTTGAGTTAACTACGATCTCGTGTTGTCGCTGCGCTGAGGTAACTACGGCAGATGCCATGTGCACCAATGCAGATGCACGCCGGTCCAAGAACCCTTGCGCATCAGCGTTTGGCCGTCTGAAACAGTCTCGGATGCGACTCACTGAGTTCGAACCCGGAACCCGACACCGTATTCCAGCCACCTCGTGAAATCGCCCCGCTGCTGAGCTGCTGCCCTTGGCAGCTGCTGTCGAGCGCGGGCGGCGAGGATCGGTTGCGGCTCGTGCGGTTGCCAGTTGGCAGCATCGCGCATTGTACATCTCGCTCCATCCCTTTCCTTGCGCGAGACCATTTGGTACTGGCGACACCGTCCTCGATAGTCGCGCCACCAATGCTATCGTACTGGCATGTAGTATACATCCGACGGACGATGGTACTTTGCAGCGCCAAGAGCAACAGCGCCAGCATCATGCTGAAGCGATCAAAGCGCGGGCAATTGAATTGACCGACGAATGCAATGTATCGCAAGAGGTGGGTTGAAGCCGCGCCACCGAGGATTTCGAAGGTTCGACGCGCCGAGGCCTAGCCCTCATTACACGGTCGACACAGTGGCTCCAATCACACACGCTTGAAGTTGGCGCCGACCTTGAACGCCCAGCGATCCAGCAACATCTTGGCTGGAGACACCACATGCATTTTCCAAGTTATATCAGCCCACGGTACAGCGCCACACAAAACGAAATGTCAAAAAAGGGTACAACCCTGCATTCTTTCGCAGTGCACGGTCGCGCCAAGATGCTGCCACTCGCAACACGTCTTGCATCGCGTGCCCACCACCATCATATCGATAAAATATCTAGTGCTAGTATATATATCGCGCCCGACAGGACGAGTTATGGGGCATCTAGCAAGGACATGCTCCTCCGATTGAAGTTTAGTCGATTTCCTTCGATTTTCTGTCGTGCTACGCGACTCTTGTGTGACGTCAGGGCGTGTCCTTCTTATATACTAGTACTCCAAGTAGTATAGAGTATGGCTGATGAAGGGCGCGTGCTGGATGCTTCCATCGACAGCCCATGTCGTCGTCCGAGAGGACGCCTGCGCTGCAACCCGCAACGAACCCTTTTTTGTCTAAATCTGACGTGTGTGTCACTCACCAGCGCGCCCGCGCTTTGCGGCTCATTTGGCAATTGCGAACTTCGTGCGCACATGTGGAAAAAGTTCACCGAGTCCAAGCTCGCGGTCGGGCTCGTCTTCTTGATCCTCTCGAGGACCGTCGACCGCGTCTACTACACGTACTACTAGCTTTCTATCAATGTATCGAGTTCTCAAAGGCTCTAGGCGCATCACGTACGAGTACAATGATTTTTTGTGGTATTTTGCCAACATCATTTGCCCGATCTCGTACATTGTCACGTCGTGGCCCGTCGTGTGGTAATTGCTCGCTGAACGCAACGTTCGCGCACTCAAAACCAATTCTGTAGGTACAAGATGTGGTTTACGGACGAAATCACGCCCGAAATGCGCGCGTTCCCGCACTACAAGTTCATCATCATGGGTCTCTTTGACACGCTCTACAACCTCCTCTCGTCCTTTCCGACGCCGCACATTGGGTATTTTTGCGTCGTTTTCCCGACATTTGTGGTCGACGAAACCCTCTTTCGTAGCGGCAACCTCGCCAATGCACTCAACCAGCTCAACCTGCCGTTCAACATGGTGCTCTCGTTCATCTTCCTCGCCACGCGCTACAAGAAGATGCACATCCTCGGCGCTGTCCTCGTCTTGTACGGCGCCCTCGTGTGCATGATCCCCGTCTTCCAAGGCCAAGCCGCGGCCAACATGCCCGACCCGACCGCCGGCTGGATCCTGCTCTACATTGTGAGCCTCCTTCCGGCCGCGGGCTCCAACGGTACGCGGTTTTGCCACACTCTCAGTTCTGATTCTGGTGTCTAATCTGGTTGGCTGCATCTAGTCTACAAGGAAATTGGCTTGAAGGACGTCGATTTGGACATCTGGTACACGAACGCGTGGGTCAGCTTCTACCAAGTGGGCTGGGGGCTTCTCACGATCTGGACGATCCGCTTTGATGCGTTCTGCGACCCGCCCGTGGAATGGCAGGACTTTCCGCACTACGTGGGGCAGGCGCACGAGTGCTTCTTGGGCAACCCCGCCGAGTTTGGCGGCAAGACGATCGCGTGCGACCAAGGCGTCTTTGGCACGTTCCTTCTCTACATCTTCTTCAACGTCGTCTACAACCAGGTACAACGCGCCGTCCGAGACAAGCTCGCTGACGCTGTGTCTAGTTGATGTTGTACATCTTCAAGGAAGGCAGCAGCGTCCTCTTTGTCGTCTCGTCCGCGGTCTGCCTCCCGCTCACGGACATTCTGTACATGGTGCCGTTCCTCGCGGGGCCCCAAGCAACGCAGTCGTTTACGATCTTTGACGGTTTTGCGCTCTTCATCCTCATCATCGGCATGCTCATCTACCACTCGGAGAAGGAAGAGCGCGTCGACACGACCGACGGCAAGCTCCTCGCCAAGTCGCCCATGTTCTCGTCGCCCAGCATGCGCCAAGCACAAATCATGCGCGGCAAGCGCACCGGCACCTACCGCCAAATCCCAGCCTTCAAGAAGAAGCTCGCGTCACCGCACCGGTCCAAGTACGGCACGTCGGCG